TTTGGTGGCCCCCCCCCCCCCCTCATAGTTCTCCTTTAATTTCGGTTTTAACATTTTCATTTCGGTGCACCTCCTAAATAAAACCTCATTCATGGAAACAAAAAGCAGTGCAAGGAAACGTTTAATCCTCGATTTTTTTTTTTTCCGGTGCTTTTACCTGCAACGTGACCAGTCAGTGACAGGGTCTCTTTAAGTAACGAATACATATCTGCGCGACATAAAAATAGACGGTTATGTTTAGACATCCTTCAGGCGGATTCAGCGCTTTCGAATGTCACTGGCATTTAAATATAGATATGGAAATATTTCAGGAACTTGTTAGAACGAGAGAGAGAGAGAGAGATATGGAGTGTTGGGAAATCAGAGTGTTTTTCAGTATACAACTCACTTCCTGTCCAGCTTTCTCATAAGAGAACAATGGCAGCTCGCTCCCAGGCCGCTTCTTACATAAGTTTGTGTCACAACAATGGGCCACAGGCGACGGATAACAATGTCCTGCTTTACATTGTTTCCACAGGTGTGGCGACTTTTTTTACATACGTATCTGCGAATGTTTCATTTCACCTTTTTTATAGCGCGTTCCATGTCACGCCCAGAGTGACGGCGGGCCACGGCGCCACGCTGCAGCTTTACATACGTCGCAGCTCGCCAGTCTTTTAGTGTTGAATTCGTTTTTTATTCGTTTTCAAACGGTCCAAAACAGTAAACAAACATTGTAATACATGACAACGTAAGATATGGGGTCAGGAGTATAACATTGTTGGGTCGGCATTGGCAACCCTAAGTCCTCTCCAGTCTTTTAGATGTGATGACCGCACTTGTTTTTTTCACCTGGTGGTCCTGCTAGCAACACATGCCCCGTCCTTGGGTGATGATGGGTGCAAGCTGCATGGACAGCTCCTTCCTAGTAGGTGCAAGCATCAACTTTTTTGGTTTGGAAGCATTTTGCTCCATACTGTACTATATCTGGAGGTGGAACGTTGTTACTCCAGGACAGGAAGTGTGTAGGACTACAGAACTCCTCCTCTCTATAACATGGAGCAAAATGCTTCCAAACCAAAAAAGTTGTACCGCTGGTCAACACGATATTACAAAGATGGACCTTTTAGCTCTAAGTCCTATACCTGACTCTGTATTTAAAGGAGAACTATGAGGTGTGATTTTCACTCAGCCTCATAATCTGAGCAGACCTGTGACAATGAGACTGTCACAGGTCGGCTCAGGAGATCGGGAAGTGAGAGAACACATGCCGGCTGCTGACTGGCGGAACGGACGGGGGAGGGGGCGGGCACAGCTGGCTCTGCCTCTAGATAGGCAGAGCCAGCTGTCAATCACGCAGCTGGGCGGATCCAGACATAATTGTCGGGACCCGTTCCGGCTGCGGCGTCTCAGTATACCGCGAGCTGTAGCTCCCTATATACTGAGCCTAGGGCGACGGGAGGACGTTAGTTTGTGTCCTCCCGTGACCCGGTGGAGAACTATGGGGAAAAGCCCCCATAGTTCTTTAAAATAAACTGTAATGGTATTTTTTTCTTAATTTATAACCTGACAAATGATGATCAGTGCACTAGACCAGCGGTCGGTCACCAACCTTTCGGACCTCATGGACCACTAAATTCATAATTTGAAATCCGTGGACCACTAATATGAATTTTTTAAAAATATATATTCTCATGTGTGTGTAATATGAGAATATATCGATTATATACACACATAGGTGCGGGTGTACCTGCAGGAGTGGCAGTGCTGGTGGAGGGAGGGATGGAGCGGTGCCGCCCCGGCCCAGTAATAATGGTTTCCCCCCCTATCGAATCTGCCACTGGCTCTGCCGGCGGTGCCCGGGGCAACATGCCTCCCCCCCCTAGCTTCAGCATATCCCCCAACCACCCCCGTGCCTCCCCTTCCCCCCACACTGAGCCACTAATACCTGGCTTCTCCCCACTGTTTCTATGTCCCGCAGCCTGCTCAGTCCGGGTACAGACGAGATGCCCCGCCTCCTGCAGAGCCCGCACTGTACAAGATGCCCCGCCTCCTGCAGAGCCCGCACTGTACCGAGAGCCATGCATTCCTTGTGACAGCCGCTGCTCGAGTCAATGAGAGGCAGCCCCGGAGCCTCCGTGCCACTTAAATGACGGCCCAGCCTGCACGGGCATCAGAGGGGCCCATCAAAATGTTCTCGCGGACCACCGGTTGGCAACCGCTGCAGTAGAGGGTAGCTCAGGAGGCAGCTTTCAGATGCTACCCACTTGGAGGCTCCTTGTGTCTGGCTGCAACTTTAGACCTCATTCGTCCCACAAGGGAGGAATTGCTTAGCTCGGTGTGTATCTTTCAGCTTAAGCTATTGAGACCTGTAAACAGGCTTTGAGGAGTTAGTGGAACGTTTCATATTTATCTGAGTACTAACTGCTTTTTTTTTTTAGTCCTGAGCATAGTAAAGAGAGAAAATATGTGCCAACATTTCGCACCTCTGAGTCTTAAAGTGACTCCGCTATAACGTACAAACGTCCCCGCGCATACCTGATGCAGCCTCCAGGTCCAGCCGCTATTCCCATCATCCCATCATCGGGCAGTTCTCATTGGTAATGCTCTGACATTTCCTGGTAGCGGTAAATCTTGCCTGCTCCCTCCTACCTCCCCATGCATTGCCATCGGCCCCTCGCTAAGATGGACTGCTTCACCGGCCAGGAGGAATGTGCATGAGGCAAGCTACCGATGGGAGACGCATTGACTTCTGTGTGCTGCATCTTTGTCGCGGGTTTCCATCAAAACGCACCTTTTTAGAGGAACTAAAGTTAATGTGCACGATGCTTCTAAACTGCACCAATCTCATGCAGAGGCGTGAATGCAGGCTTTGACAGGTGACCTGGGGGGTCCTTTTAATTTGCCTGTCACTTCAGCTGCATGGACAGCTCCTTCCTAGCGGGTGCATGCTGCATGGACAGCTCCTTCCTAGCGGGTGCATGCTGCATGGACAGCTCCTTCCTAGCGGGTGCATGCTGCATGGACAGCTCCTTCCTATCGGGTGCAAGCTGCTGACGCCTGATTGAGGTTTATTTATTCTGGATCAGCGGTGAACGTTCAGCCATTCGGGGACGTCGTCGGGTTTGGTGACATCTGCCTTCTGTCACACCAGCTCGGGGGTGTTGACAAGCGTATCTAGCGCCGGGAATATCGGCTTTGGGAACGTGCGGGGCCAGTTTACACTCGCGACTCGTGGCAACGCATTTGCTGTGTACGTGTTATGTTGCCCTTTATTGTGAATGACATCTCAACACATCGTACAGAAGAACCCAACGCAGCGCACCGCAATGCATATCCCGTGCGTCGTGGTGTGCTGCGCGTATTTTGTTGCAGTGTTTTGGCAGCTCGTTATAATATATGGGCTGCCTTAACGCAATGCATGTTGATGCAATGTACCTGACACGATCCGGGATCGGGCTCGGAGTCCAGTAGCTGAAGCAGCCGGCACATTCGTGGTGTAACAGGCCGGGTCCGGTACACAAGCAGAGGGTAGTAGTGGAGGAGCAGGCAGAAGCGTAGTCAGAGAAGGCCGAGGTCAGTAGCTAAAGCCATCAGGTATGAAGCAGAAGATGATGAGAGTAGTCGAGGGGAATCAGCAGCCAAAGGTCGGTACACGGGTAGCAGTATGAGCGGATGTATCACAGAGGGAGCAGGAAGCAAGATACTGGCAGGAGCAGAATAATCTGGCAAACAGGAAGTGTAGGGGCGGGGCTTCAAGTTCAAGGGAGGAGCCAGGAGTTCAGCAGAAACTAGGGATCGTAGTTCCTAGTCTCTGACCCCTGTAGAGTAGGTTGTCAGGGGTAGACTTGTCTTAATTTCCGGCCTTGCTAACCATGCTGCCATTTCCCCCCCCCCCCAGATAAGACGCTACTGGATGCAAGAGCGAGAGCCGCACGTCGGATTTCATCACCTCCTTGGGATCCACTTTGGCTCATTTTTCACCCCCCCGGCGCTATTTCACGTGGAAGAGAGAGGAAGGAATGCGACGTTCCAGCGCCAGGCTGCTGCTTGAAGTCTTCCTAACCCGCTGAGACCTTTTCTGTGTAGAAGTACCTGCTAGGTAACACGTCCTGTCATCGCACGCTGTATGCATGCAAGTCAATAAACACGATAACACAATTGGCCTTGAGTGTAAGGTAATTAGCGGTAAGCCTGGGCGGGATGCCATGTGGTTTGCAGGAAACCTCCGCCACCCATAAACACGGACGGATCACGGCTGTCACAAGTGTCAGTGTGAAGGCTCTTTTAATGCGCAGGCTGGTCCGTGGTTACGCCGTGTGTGCTGGCGGTCCGTGTGCGCCACGCTTGAAGCGAAGGACTTTCTACGCGCTGATTAAAGTTATGCTTTGTAACACGCTATCGCCCTTTTTTTTTTTTTAAACACGTTCCGGTCACGTTTTCTGTAACTCAATAGAGGCCGCATTACCAAATCACAACATTGTGAAAAAAAAAAAGAAGCTCTTCCTTGCCGTGATGAAAATGCAGCTGCTGAGCTTTCCCGTGTGAACCAAAACTCAGGTCACGTAGGTTTTAGCTGCAGTCATTGCGGGGCGCTTCATGCCATTTAGAGCAGGGGGTAGCAAACCTCCGGCCCTCCAGCTGCGGTGGAACTACAAATCCCATGAGGCAATTGCACTCTGACAGCCCCAGCCGTGACTTCCAGGGGCAGAGGCATGATGGGAGTTATGGTTCCACCACAGCTGAAGGGCCTGCCATAGAGGGTCACCTGTGTCTGCCGGGGCTGCTGACATCACATCCAAGATGGCGGCACCCAGAAGCAGTCTCGGGGATTTCGGATGTCCACATGAGGGAGGCATTCATAAAATACATGAAATGTTCACATAATGGGAGGATTGCTGTTGGACTGAATGACAGGATCTTGCTCTGGTGACCGGCTCTTGCTCTGGTGACCGGCTCTTGCTCTGGTGACCGGCTCTTGCTCTGGTGACCGGCTCTTGCTCTGGTGACCGGGTCTCTTTAAGTGATGAGGCCTCACACCGTTTGTGGTGTCTTCTGAGGGGCTCATTCACGTCAAGAGAGATGCATCATGGAATTTGTAGTTTCGCCACAGCTGGAGGGCCGGAGGTTTGCTACCCCTGCATTAGGGGCTGCGGGGTCTGAATCGGGGATACCCTGGCTCAAAGGCTTCCAGCGATATGAGGATCGGCGAGGCACAACGGGGAAGCAGAGTCTGCTGGTGATGGGATGAGTGGATGTGGCTGCTTGATGTGGCATACGGGTCTGGTATGGATTTTGGAGGGGCCACATGTTGCTTTTTTGCATTTATTATTGGGGTACCTTTCTTTATAACCACTTATATAAATATGTAAATACCTATATTCAATGTAAAAAGCAACATGTGGCCCCTCCAAATTCCATACCAGAACTGTATGCCAGATAGGGGTCTGTTATGGATTTTAAGGGGGGGGGGGGGGTCACCACAATACAAAAGAACAAAAAAATAGGGTTCCTCCATTACATTAACGTTCCCTCTTCAAATCAGGAGTCCCACTTTACATTAGGAGCCTCCCCCCCCACATTAGAGTCCAACTTCAAATTAGTCCCCC